CTGGGGCTGGTGGAGCGCTGCCTGCCCGCTGCCCCCCGTTCCTGTTGGACCCGAGGTGCTGCGCCCCTCCGAAATGAGAAACTAATGGGGCTGGCTCCTGGGAGCTGCTGGGGATCTCCTCCGAGGGTCCCACCGCAGGAGTTCCCTTCCCAGGGGAATGGCGAGAGCCTTGTCCCCCCCCCGCCACGGGCGTGGGTTTCATCAAACAAAACCCATCTTGTTGCTTTGGGGCAGAGCTCCCGAATTAGCACGCGATCCCGCTTACGTTGTCGCGTCAAAAAATTGAGGTTATTCAAAAAGCTGAGAAAACTGCAATTTTTTATTGCCGTTGTAAATACGTACATGAACTTATGGTAAAAGAAAAAGGCATTTTTGAGGAGGATCGTGAAGCAAAGTAATTCAATAAATGCCTTTTCTTCTGTTTGTTTGTTAGCTGTAGTAGCCAGGCAGTGCCTAGAACAAATATATGTATTTGTTTAAACCGCTTCAGTTTGGTTTTTTGCTTTCCTAAATTGCACCCTTGAGGTTTCGATCTGGCTAAATCCTACTAGCTTTATTGAAACTGATGGGCTAAATTTACATGGAGCTAATCTAGGGAGTAAAATGTTCAGGCTTTGGCTTTGGACCACATTTGAGCTGAAAGAAGACAACATTTTTAGGGTTTGTTGGGGTTTTTTTCTCCTTTGTTTTTATTGTTCCTGGTTTATTTGTTTTATGCTGCTTCCTGTTTTTTAAGGCAAAGGACCAAATATTACTGCTAAAAATGCAAAAAAAAAAACCAAAAAAAAACAAAACAAAAAACTTGTTATGATTTGACCTTTTTAATTTTCCCACTTGTGATTTCTGTTTCTTCCAGTTCTTCCTTTGTTCGGTCTATGTCCCGATGTGCACAGAGAAGATTAACATCCCCATAGGTCCCTGTGGTGGCATGTGCCTTTCTGTCAAAAGAAGATGCGAACCTGTTTTAAAAGAATTTGGATTTGCCTGGCCGGACAGCCTAAACTGCAGCAAATTCCCCCCCCAGAATGATCACAACCATATGTGCATGGAGGGTCCAGGAGACGAAGAGGTTCCCCTTCATAGCAAGACCTCCTTGCAGCCCGGAGAGGAGTGCCACAGCATGGGATCTAACTCAGAGCAGTACATCTGGGTGAAGAGAAGCTTGAACTGTGTCCTGAAGTGCGGCTATGACGCTGGGCTCTACAGCAGGTCAGCTAAGGAATTCACAGATATCTGGATGGCTGTGTGGGCCAGTCTCTGCTTCATCTCAACTGCCTTCACGGTCCTGACCTTCCTGATTGATTCATCCAGATTTTCCTACCCGGAGCGCCCAATCATATTTCTGAGCATGTGCTACAATATTTATAGCATTGCTTATATTGTGAGGCTAACTGTGGGCCGGGAAAGGATATCCTGTGATTTTGAAGAGGCAGCAGAACCTGTTCTTATCCAAGAAGGTCTTAAGAACACAGGATGTGCTATAATTTTCTTGCTGATGTATTTTTTCGGGATGGCGAGCTCCATCTGGTGGGTTATTCTCACACTGACGTGGTTTCTGGCTGCAGGACTCAAGTGGGGCCACGAAGCTATAGAAATGCACAGCTCTTATTTCCATATTGCAGCCTGGGCTATCCCTGCGGTGAAGACCATCGTCATTTTGATTATGAGACTAGTAGACGCAGATGAGCTCACCGGTCTGTGCTATGTTGGGAACCAGAACCTTGATGCTCTGACGGGCTTTGTCGTCGCTCCGCTTTTTACCTACCTGGTCATTGGAACTTTATTCATTGCAGCAGGACTAGTGGCCTTATTTAAAATCAGGTCTAATCTCCAGAAAGATGGAACTAAAACTGACAAACTGGAAAGGCTGATGGTCAAAATTGGTGTCTTTTCAGTGTTGTACACCGTCCCAGCAACGTGTGTCATTGCCTGTTATTTCTACGAAATCTCCAACTGGGCTATTTTCCGCTATTCAGCAGATGATTCCAACATGGCCGTGGAGATGCTCAAAATCTTCATGTCCCTCCTGGTGGGTATTACATCAGGTATGTGGATCTGGTCCGCCAAAACTCTGCACACATGGCAAAAGTGCTCCAACAGACTGGTGAACTCAGGGAAAGTGAAACGGGAGAAGAGAGCAGATGGTTGGGTGAAACCTGGGAAAGGGAACGAGACTGTGGTATGAGAAAAGGACGATGCCCTGATGGTCTGACTGCTCTCCCATGAAGGACTGATCGTGTGTAAGCATTGCTGTGTAAATGTTGGGAGTAGAGTAGGGGGACGGTTACACAACCTGTCTCTGGGGGATGGAAAAAAAAAAAGCCTTAAAGAATGACCAGCAAAAAGATCATGCTGCAGATACAATAGCCATACACCATGCTGCCCAAAATAGGAAAGCCCAGGGAGGCTTTAAAAGCTGTGAAATATCCGAACATGTTATCTTCTTTTTTCTTTTAAAGCAGGATGCAATATACTGAAGTCTTTAGAAGCTGAGGGACTATAGCCCACAGCTGTGGGATGTTGTTTTCATCATCTTATAGCTGATGGAGGAAAGGTGATCTGGGGCCAAATTCTGGTCTGATTTAGGGTCCAGTTATCAGAAGACAGAGCACCCAGGACCTCAGTTAGGTGACTTCTTTCCAAGTTCAGCATCGTAAAGGAAGCCCTTGCGGAGGGTCGTGTCTTTATGCCCCAGGGAATTCTGTTGCTCCCATACACTGCACAAGTCAGCCGGGGATCAGGTCCTCCAGCAAATACCAAGTGGACTTCTAAGCGGTCTGAAAGTTACCCGTAATGAGTGGGATTTAGGGAGGTATTAGTGAGGATAATTCTTTAAGTCATCTGATGGTCTAATAATAATTTTTGACTCATTCTTTTTGCCATCTGTAACCTGGTCTGAATTGAGAGTTGGCTCTGCCTTGAGCAGGAGTTTGGACCTGCCGAAGTCCCTTCCCGCTTGAATTATTCTGTGGTTCTATCCATATTTTTAATTTTTTCAAAGCTTTACTCAAGGCCATTGTCAGAAATAGAGGATTCAGTGGGAGCTGGGAAACTCTGTATGGTCTTCTGCATCGATTATCGTTATCCGCCTGCCTCCATTCCTGTCCCTTCGGGTGCTCCTGCTATTTCCAGCAGACTACTTTATTCTGCTGCATTTAATAGCTTTAAATAAAGTCTTACATTATAGTGTTCCTTCCTCTAGGAAAGAGAAAAATGAGTTAAGGGTCTCTTCAAACAATGCCAGTTTTCTCCAAGTAAACTTATCTGGCTCTCTCTGGAGACCTATTGCATGAAGCAATTAAGTCTTAATATATTTCATTCAGTGCGATGGTATCTCTGCAGACGCCAGTCTGGGGAGAAGTGAAATGTTAAGTTCCTTGGCAACCTCATGTTCACACAGATCAGTTGTATAATTATGTGTGTCAGTTACAATTAAAAGAACATTCTCAGCCCATGGCATCACAGTCCAGCTGACTGCCTCACAACACTGCTCCGATTGCTCACTGACAGCTATATTTTTTTAAATGTACATTTACATGCAGGTTGTGAGCAGACATTTCCAGTTTTTGTAAAGGGATCCCAAGAGAAGAGATCCAACTTGTTGGCGAATAATGTTATTTCATAGCAACTGTCAAGTTTTCTTATCTTTCTATTTGAGGAGGCATCGACTTGTGCTCTGAGGAGCTTGAACCTTGCATTGGGTCCTTGTTGGCTGATAACAAAGTTGATGCAAATAGAAATAGCACAGAAATACTTAAGAGGACACTGTTCCGATGCTCTACCCCTTTGAAGAACCTTCAGTTTTACCCATGTGCCCTAAATTTTTGCTTCATTCGCTTGTGTGGAACCTGGTCAGCTGTGGAGCATCCCCCTGGTGCCCTGGCTCACAGGACCTTGGAGGGCAGCGGAGAACAGGCACTGGTTTATTGTGGTCCCCGTTTTTCACACAGGTGCCCCATGTGCTTCCCAAACCACAACTCATTCCAGCTCTGGCCATGAGCACTAATCTGTCCCAGAAGCATGTATTGTTTCAACGTCAATGTTGAAACATGTGCTAGAGCACATTTGAAAAAAGAAAAAAAAAAAATTAAAAAAACCCCAAACCCCAAACAAACCCTAATTGCAGTCTTTGCGGTTGGGCTCCCTCTCCAGCAGAACAAGTGATAACTTGACACATTCTGCTCAAGACACACAAGCATTGTCTTGGCCAACGCCGCATACCAGCTGAGCCTTTTCATCCTCTCCATAAAGTCTCTCGCTATTAGTGTTGTCTTTGGATCTGGTTATTCCTCTGTGGACAAGGAGCTCTGCAAGTAGGAGATCTTCAGATGGCAGAGTTTCTCCATCGTGCGATCTTTCTCTTGGTGTGGAGAGGGATGTAAAGTCAGCAGCTGTATGTTGACTTTCAAGGGGTGAGGACGCAGTAGGAGCTTTGTCTTGTAACCTGGTATCAGGCTGTGCCAAGGTGTCACCTTCACTCAAGTGCCCTTCACTCTGAAATGTTTTGGATACTCTCCTGGCTGATACGCCCCATGTTTGACCTGAATGATTCAATAAACGGTGTTTTTGACCGTGTTATGTACACAGACGTGAATGTTGAGTAGTACCTTGTTACCAGATCCTCGTGAACTGTGACAGACAGATGTCCCTGGTGATTTGAGACATTGAAAGTGAGTTGGATGAGGACAGCGCTGCGTAGCCCTGGGAGGGACCTGGGGGGATGTTCCATTCAAGAGTGTGAGGGACTTAAATACCATGGGGAGGAAGTGGGTTGGGGAGAGACACCAGCTGCTGTTCCTGAAGGAGCATCTTTCCCCAGCATCCAGGGGTACACTATACTAACCCAAAGTGAGATTAGCTGTTGCAGTGGTGAAACCATCCCATAAATGTATTATTCATCCACGTGCCTTTACCTTGCTCCGCTTCAGGGCTGGATGAGTTGGAAGTGGCAGCAGATAGCCTGAAACCCAGTGGTTGGGAAGAGTGGGTATCTGCATCTCCTGTGTACTCTCGTTTCAACGTTGTTATGAATTCAAAGCCAAAAAAATGTGTGACTAATCCTGTCTCGGAAGTGCAGTTGCTGTGGTTATACAACTAGAAACTTGACAGCAGTTACCTTCCTTGCGCAGTCCCTGCTCCCATCTTCCCCGCCTCGGGCATGTGCTCTTCTCACTGCAGGTTTTAGAAGCATCTGCTGGAGAGGTACAAGCTTAGCTCTTATGTTAAACAGACAAGTTAAGTCCTTTTTCTGAATTTTAAGGAAATAGACACTGATTATTTTGGGGTGTACAGAAAATATATCTACTTCGATGTATGTACTGTAAATTTCTAATTTATCACTGTAAAAAAAGCCCAAAAACTTTGCTATTTAATTTTTATATCAAAATAAAATTTTAACCTCTGTGGATAACTAAGGCTCCTTTTTATTTCATGTGTTACGGAGTATGTACATCCAAAGATGCACTCAGCATTCAGATCCGGGGCATATGGTGGAGGGCGGCATAACCACCTGCCTGTTGAGTGTATGAAAGATATTAGTGGCTTTTGGAAAGGGCAAATTCACCTCTTAGTAACATGCTTGAAAAGAGTTCACTCCTAGGGCTCTTTTCAACCCTTCAGAGAGCAGATTCAATTGATTGTCTACATTTTCTTGCAATGTTTTTAAGCTTATTAATGCGCTGCTTATTTCTCATTCTTTTTTATTGTTTGTGTTCACAGTTAGGACGTACGGTGGGAGCAAGGAGTTCCTCCTTTTGTGTACATCCCTCACCAGTTTCCTTGACGTGGATAGTACAGTTTGTGGTATTAGTCATCAGCTAAACCCACTTAATCATCTCCATCATCAAGCATTCTGTGTGCAGGATTACTTAATTAGCATAATATTATTCTAATAAGAAATCAGACTAGAGTGGATAATAGGGAGCATGGGCTATAAAGAAAACAGTGGGAATTATCACCTGTGAATCTGTAGCTAGTCAAGTTTTGAAGAGCAGCATCTAAACCTGGTAATTAGAGTGATTTGCTCATGCCTTTGGCAGCTCATCACTGTAATGTTCTTGGGGTGGTGATTAATGAGATCTCTGACTTGAAACTTATAGTTAGGAGCCTTTAATATAGCTCCAGTTAAACATAGCAAACATAATAGAGCTTCATTGCTGGGGCTGTCGACACCATCAGAGAACCTCAGAGTGTACGAGATGGTGTTGGTTGCTCCAGGTCTCTCTGACGGTCACTTGCCCTTATCCATGTCCCCCACATCAGACATCCCAGAGCATCACCTGGGAGGTGGCAGTGGATTGGTGGAGTGACTGCAGGACAACCTCCCTGAGCCACTGGGATGATAAATCAGCCCCGGTTTGCCTACAGACAGGAGCGTTGGCTGTATACAAATCTCATATAAAGTAGCCTTTATCAGGACGTTTTGTTTGGTTAGTTGGTTTTGTCTTGATTTTTTAAAGCTGTCTTTAAAGAGAGCAAATGTTAAGGACTTCATAGCAAAGGAGACCAGAGTTCTGTTGCCAGAAATCAGGAGCATCCTAAGCTCCAGTAATGGAAAAATGTGGTATCATGACATCCCGCTTTGGTGGTGGAGTTTCCACCGCACCCACTCCATCCTGAGCCGCTCATTCCCATAACTGCACCACATTTCAGCTCTTCCTTCATTTTGCCAGTGCAGCTATTTGTGGTGCTGATCTGCAAAGCAGATCAGCAAAAATATACGAGTCCAAGTTTTTGCTTTATTTTATGCTGGAGGTTTATTTTAACTTGGATCGTGTCAGGGATCTGGCTTATGTGGCAACCCCACCAAGAGCCGTACTGGCACAGGGAGCAGCATGAACTGCCAGGAGGAAGGGGTCTGCCTTGCATTGCCTTGGCTCCCCAAGGCAGCATCCTGCAGAGCTGCTCCCCAAGTCCTCTTGCACCATCATCCCCCTGCAGCCAGAGCTGCATCTGCCTACAGGGATGCAGGAATGGGTGAGAGACAAGCGGTAACTATCCAACCGCTTCCAGCTTCCACAGCCTCTGGTCAAAACTTGAGTTTGATGCTTCCCCTGGGATGGTTGAGTCCAGCTTTTAACTCCTCACTTGGACGTGAAAGCCCCATTGCACAGCCCCAGAACGGCTGTGTCACTGATGCTCCAAAGTGCCCTCTTCGGCACACTTGAACTAATTAGCTCGTAATATATATGTCAGGAGCTTCCAGCCTCTGTCTCAACCTTAGATACCAAATACTGGTGGTTTGAGTGCAAAGCAGAGTGTCTCATCATGCTTGCAAAGCCAACGCTGGCTGCAATGGTAATGGGGCAGAGCGTGGTCCAGGCTGGAGCTGCACCTCTCCAAGAAGAACAGACAAGAGGATGGGTGCAGGTCAGGCAGCTCCCAGCTGATGCTGGGCTGGTACGGTAGATCCCATATCACTCGTATTTCCTGCAGCTGGGAGAGGATTTCTGGCCAGAAGTCCCATGCATCCTGGCAGACTCCAGCTGTTGTAACAGCTTCGTGTTG